GATATAGATATAGATATAGATATAGATATAGATATAGATATAGATATCTCAAGTCTCTGATTGGTTGGAGGGCCAGTATCTAGCGCATCTGAGTTAAACGATCTCTACCTGTTTTAGTTATCTTTTTAAAACAGTACCTTGCAAACATAAAACAAAAGACTAAATAAACTGTTAACTTATCATTAACAGCATCGGTTTTTAGCCTGACTTTCAATTTCTGTTGAGTTTTGAGCCTTAAAAGTCAATTTTGAATTGAAGCTCTTTTAGTATTAAAAAAATATTTCCCAATAGCATACTCCATAAAGTTACTAACATAGCAGAACATAATAGTTTCCAGTATGGTTTAGTTTGGGTTGACACCAGTGTCAGGACAAGAAAGGGTTAAAACAGCAGAGTGCTTGACTGAGAGAACTCTTACCTCTTTTTGGGCTTCTGGTGCCTTATCAGAGTTTAAGCAAACAGAAAAGAGGGGATGGATTTTAAAAGCCAGTGATTTTTAACTTTTTAATGTTGTAACCCTGTAAAAATTTCAAATTAATGAACTTCTTAATTTTTCTTTCTAGTACTATTACCAAAATATATCTGATATAATGAACAGAAATAGACAAAAGCTTCCCTTTTGAGTACTAGGATATCTTGAATCCTTGAGATGCTTCTAGGGTCTGGTATTGTTGCTTGAAAACTATTGATTATATCTGTCAGAGCCTGACCAATACAGATGCAGACATTTGAAGCCAACCATCAGACTGAGCACAGGAACCCCAATGGAGGAGTTATGGAATGGACTCAAGGACCTGAAGGAGTTTGCAACCCCATAGGAAGAACAACAATATCAACCAACCAGATCTGCCAGATCTCCCAGGGACTAAACAACCAACCAAAGAGAAGAGACCTATGACTCCAGCTGCATATGTAGCAGAGGATGGCCTGATATGGCATCAGTGGGAGGCGAGGCACTTGGTCCTGTGAAGACTCAATGTCCCAGCATAGGGGAATGCTAGGGCACTGAGGTAGGAGAGGGTAGGTGGGTGAGGGAGCACTCTCATAGAAGCAAGAGGAAGGGGACATGGAATAGGGTGTTTTCAGAGGGGAAACCAGGAAGGGGGATAACATTTGAAATGTAAATAAATAAAATTAAATTTTTTAAAAAGTAAAGAAAACCATTGATTCAACAATGGAATTTTTTTAACATACTTGACTATAGCAGTAATTATACAGGGTCCACAAATCAGGGACACTCAAAACCAAGAAAAGAGTAGTCAACGAAGGGGACCAGTTAAAGAGGGACTCATACCAGCCCTGAGACTGATGTTTTGTTTGATTGTTTTTTCTAATTCTCTATCACTTAATCTGTTTTTAATCTGAGCCATAGTTTTTCTAACTACCCCTGAATGATCAGTCTAAACACAGCATTTTTTTCTCCTAGAGCTGCATACACATAAGCCACCTTGCTGAAGAAATAATATTTTGAAGTCTCTCCTATTTTGTAAAACTACTTTAGCTAGAGAAGAGATAGTCTTCCTGAGTGTTAAGAGATTATTCTATTTCTCTTATATCAGTATCTTGTGCAATGCTCAGGGTTCTTTAATTCTTATCTTGAAGCTCCTGTGCCAGCTGCTGTATCCCCTATTACACCCAACAGAATGGATAGACACAGCAGTCACAGCAACCCTTTATACCTGGTGATAGTGAATGGCTTCCCAAATAATTCATGGAACTAGGTGCACCAGGATACGGAAATCAGATGATATATTTAGGACTAGGGTGTGAATGCAAGGGGTGAGTCCTAATGCATAGGCCCACAAAGCATCCTCTAGAGGCAACAGCTTCCCTTATCCTATACTGGCAGGAGTTACAATGGAATTTCAGAGGTGTAAATGTTCTGTGGGTATCTGATTTTCAATATAAAGGGCTTGTCTTGCTTGATTGAAGGGTCATACTGCCTCTTTCTGATTGCTGCCATCTACACTGAGTACTAAATGTAGTCTGTAAATAGTTTCCAGGGACAGCTATTCCATCATAGTAGAGAGGTTGAGCGTGTAAGCATGACCAACAGTCCAGTGTTAAGTCTGGATGAGAGGAGATAATTACCTGGAAAAAAAGCTTTTAACAATTGTGGGGGTTTTGGTCCAGGTGGTGAAGTAGGCTTTGTTGGAGCAGAAGGTCAAGAGAAGTTGCCTTTTGGTTTAGGGTGAGATTGGGAATTAGTGTGGGCAAGGGCCAGGGATCTGGACTTGGTAGGAGTTTATTGGGTCCAATTCGTACCCCTGGAACCAGTTTAACAAGTAATCAGACAGAGAAGAGTATTTCTGCAAAATACCACTCTACTCTTCTATATCCTCTCAATCTCCAAACATAACCGATATCCCATGCTGTGGCCTGTTTTCCTCCTTCTGTGAAGCTTAGTTTCTGAGGGTTACAAGGTGACTATTAATAAGGAAGACATGAGGGTGCTTCATTGTTAACTAGCAAGATAAAATCAAATTTTAACTGTGGCATCCCAGTAGATGGAGTCTGTGCTTTTACAACCCCAGTAGTTGCTTTTGGACTCTATGGAGAGCCTCCAAGGATTTAAGAACTTCGATTAGAATGCTACACTAGAGGGTAGGCAGCATGGGAGGGGTTTCCAATATAGGATCTCAAAGAGGGTAAGGCCCAAGGGATAAGGGGTATTCCTGGCCTTTTACAGGGCATAAGATAGAAAAGACACCCAGTTAAGGGTAAATTTGGTCAAGGCCCCTTTCAGGGTCTTATTTATCCTGTCTACCGGCCCTGAACTTTGGAATGTGTATATGTAATATAATTTTCAATTGATCCCCAGAACCTGTGTTAAAGACTGAGCTACCTGAGAGATGAAGACTGGTCCATTGTCAGACCCAAGCAGGGAAGGCAAACCATACCTGGGTATAATGTCTTCCAGAAGCATTTTACCATCACACTGGCAGTCTCCTTTTATTGTAGGGTAGGCTTTCACCCATTCTGAGAATGTGTCTATAAAAACCAACAGATATTTATATCCATATATACCTGGTTTTACCTCTGTGTAGTCTATTTTCTGACTGGTTCCTAGACAATGGTCTCTGATCCTGGTTCCTGAAGTTTCATGATTGGTGCCAGAGGAGTTCTCAGCCTGATCAGCAGGACAATTTGAAATTACCTAGTCTGTTAAATGTGCTATGTTAAATATTTTGTATCTTACTTTTTAGAGCAGTTTTTTGTTTTTGTTTGTTTCTTTGATTTTTTTTCTTTTGTCTCTTATTTATTTATTTGGGTTTTAATGACCCAGATGTGAAGCTTGATGAATCCTCTGGATGGATTGTGTAGTGAACTCATAGATAAGAAGGTGAAGGCCTCTGCAGTGTTTATCCATCCTTTTTTTTTTTTCTATAAATTCCTTGACATTTTGCCTGATTCTGTTTGCCCTCTGCAGTATATTCTGGGATGGCTGGGAGAACTAGGGTGGTAAGGCTACCAGAATGTTGGTGCTGAGTGCTTGTGTGGCTAGCCCCTCTTACTACTTTTTCAGCTAGTCTGTTTCTGTGAGCTAGTGTACGCGTGTGCGTGTGCCTGTGTGTGTGCGTGTGTGCGTGTGTGCGTGTGTGCGTGCGTGTGTGTGTGTGTGTCCAGTGTAATAGTTTATGGCCATTTTGAAAGAAAAGCCTAATGCCTCCAGCAAAGTAAGTATTTTTTTCTTAGTGTTGATGGTCTTTTTTGTTCTGCAGTCAATAATCCTCTCTCTTCATATCTGGAACCCAGTAGTACATGAGCCACGGCAAAGGCATATCTCTTATCAGTATAAATGTTGGCTATAGTCCTCTCTACCAACTTTAAAGCCTGAGTTGGAGCTGTCAACTCAGCCTTTTAGGCTGATGTTTCTGCCTGCAGAGTAATTGTTGAACAACAGAGTCCAAGTACACAACAATCACCCTTGTATACCTGGTTCTATTTTGGATGAAGCTGATCCCATCTCGGAAGTAGACCTGGCCAGGGTATGTCATACAACTCTGACCTCATGTTCTGGACATGCCCCAAAACGTTAGAGCAATCATATTGGTTGGGTCAGGTAGCAGGGTAGATGGGTTTAAGGAGGATGTGTGTTATATATCATGGAAGTAGGATTTAAAAGAAGAACCTGAAAGTGTACCAGTCTGGCATTGGACAGCCATTGGCTAGGAGGATCCCTGAGGGTCCCCTCAATAGCAACAGGGTGGTGATAACAAGTTCCTATCCTGTGGCTATCTTGTCAGCATTCTTGACCAGCAGGGCAATAGCAGCTATGATTTGGAGGCAGGTAGGCCATCCATAAGCCACTGTTTCCAGCTTCCTAGATGAATAAGCCTCTTTCATGAGCCCAATGTTTTGGTCAGCACTTCTTTTACTATCCACTTTTTCCATTCATATACAGGTGGAATGGTTTCTAGATGTCAGGAAGGCTAGAGCAGAGCCTACAGCAAAGCTTTTTAAAATGTTTTAGAAGCCATGGCCATTTTAGTTTGTCTTTCTGATCCATTGTGACCTCACATAGACTTCAAAACGTCATTTTAGATATTCTTTGGAGCTCTCATTTTTTGTTTTCTCTGCATCACCAGGTTTACCTCAGATAAATTTGTGAGCCAACTAGTGGCTACTCAGAGATCCCTTATCAAAATCTGGCACTAGGCCCAGAGCCTCTCCTTACCTCCATAGGTGTTACTATCCCAGCTTGGTTTAGCCAAGGAGAAGACTACATCAACATCAGCCTGGACTTTGGTGTGCACTCCATTTGCTCTTGGAACAAATTTTCATACAGCTGCCCATGCTACTTTTTCTCTGTCATCAAGAGGACCTGGAGCAGTTGCTGACAGTTGTCTAAGATGGGCCAGTGAATTAGCATGGCTGAATCTAAAAGAACTATAAGAGCTGAGTATCTTTTTGAAAATGGGGCTTTTGCAACATTCAGTTATAAATGTCACTACTAGCAAGTGGCTCATTAACTGTCATCTGTCCCTGTACATCTGGAGGACCTGCAGCCTGGAGTGGTAAGGTTGTAGTAGAGTCAGCCCTCTGGGCAGTACAAGCCCAAATGTGAAGTAGAGTCCAAGTAGAGTGAGAAGAATCAGGGGAGTGAAGGGATGTTCCTTCTTCTGCCTATGCTGGTTGAGCAGGGATATAAGGAGGAGGACTGAAATCCTCCTCAGGGGCAGAAGGAGGAAGTAAGTGGGAGGTAGGGCAACCTAGACTCTTCTGCAGAGGAAGGAGGGTTGGGACTAGTGCAGGTGGTGACAAAAAGTGTTTCAACCAAACAGAGGTCTCCTTAATCTGTAGCCCTTGGTCTCATAGGCAGTAACTTTTATTGCCAGAAGCCATCAAGTAGAAGATAAAATCTAGCTGATAATCTTCCTGAGATGCTTCCACCATGGACTATAAAGTTAATGACAGATTTGTTTCTCTAGCCAAGGCCAAGAAGATTACATTTTAGGAAAGAATCCTGCTATGAATGTGCTTTTTCTGTTATTGTTACATATATATAACAATCGCTAGGCATTAGCTCACCCTTTTGAGCAGAGCTATGCAGAACAACAAAGATGCACTATCTTGTAGTGGTGCTATATAGACAAGTAGATTATTTCTTACTTTGTAATAATGATCCTATAAGAGTTCCTAAAATTATATTAGTAGTTATTATTAAGATCATTTATAATAGAACTGCTGTTAAGTACTATTTAATGTCAAAGCTGCAAAGAGACTCTCTCAGTGCTTGGTGTTACAGTGACCTCATGCTAGCTTACAGCACCAAGTAATACATAAGGAGAGCTCCCGCAAGAATCAAAGTAATTCCAAAGGAAAAGTATTACATCATATGGCAAATACTTAATTAGTCATTAAGCAAGCTTCTACTTTTCACCATAGGAAATGTCTCAAACAAGTCCCAAAGTCTGAAGAAAGAAACAGTGTATCTACCATCAATGTCACTCTGATAACAATGTTTTTAGCAGTTCCTCTCATTTGAAAAGTCTGTATTTTGTCTCAGCTGTCTCTAGGTTGTATGATCATAGCAATTCACATAGTTTCTCTGAAGTTTAATTTCCTTATAAGTAAAAGTTTTGCTATTATTATTTATTGTAAGGATGAAATAAGGTCAAGCTTTATAAAGCATCTCATAGTTTAGCGCACAAAGTGAGCACTAACTGTTTATAGAGTATACAGAGAGTGCTGACTTTACTCGTTAATACTTCTACAGATGTAATAGAACAATTAGTGAAAAGCAGGGATACAAAGAAAAGAAACTTAAAGTCAACACAGTTGTGCAGAAGACAAAGCTGGACCAGATGCACAGAAGACACTCCTGTGGTCTTCGTCATCCAGGAGGCTGAGCCTGGAGGATTCTTGAAGCCCAAAATTTTGAGACCAGTCTGGGCAGCATAGCAAATAAAACAAACAAACAAAATAAACAAACAACAATAACAAAAATGACTGGATAGAAATCAAGATTTTTGTTTGTTTGTTTGCTTGAATTTGAAGACAGGGTTTCTCTGTGCAGTCTGGCTGTCCTGGAACCCATTCTGTAGACGAGGCTGGCCTTGAACTCAGAGATATACCTGAGTGCTGGGATTAAAACTGTGTGCCACCACCATCCAGCAAGAACTTGTTTTAGAGTACTAGGAGTGAGCTCTATAACTGTTAGTGTCTTCAGACTTTGTGTTACTTACCCCTGCCCTGTTGTGAATCATTCCCACATTCAGAATCATTTCTAGAAATTTCCACATTCAGAACTACTTCTATATTTTCCATATTCAGAATCATTTCCAAAATTTCTACATTCATATTTATTTTAGAAATACCTGTTTCATTTGCAATCTCTCCATCTGGACATGGGAGACAATCAAAACAACAGAATGGTTTCCGTTCAACAAGTGTTTTCCTAAATCCAAGTGGACAACTCTGACTGCAAACAGATACAGGAGTCTGTACAGGAGACATGGGAGGAGGGAAGGCAGTCAGTGCATGACATTCAGTATTAGCATCCAGATGGTAGATTTCAGCAGGACTTCTGTGTACTGTAACAACCAAGAACTACCATGCTTTAGAAGAGTGTGAAGCCAAAGAGTTTTTTTCTCTCTCTTTCTTTCTTTCTTTCTTTCTTTCTTTCTTTCTTCCTTCCTTCCTTCCTTCCTTCCTTCCTTCCTGTCTGTCTGTCTGTCTCTCCCTTTCTCACTTTCGACTCTTCCTTTAATTTATTTCATTCAGCTATTATTTTTATTTTTGTTATATTTTAATATAATATGTTTTATTATATCTAAAACAATTTTAAACTTTGAATATAGTTTGATCATATCTTTCCCCTCCCCTAAGACTGTCCAGATCCTCTCCTCCTCCCTACCTACCCAAATTTATGTTCTTTCTCAATGACTAAACCAAAATCTCAATTAAAACAACAATCAACCAAAACCTAGAAAATAAAATATAATAACATATAACGAAAAAACAAAGGAAAACAAAACCCACCAAACTGTAACCAAATAAAAGAGTATATATGTAAATATTGTAGATTCCCTTCTTGTGCTGCCAAACTACACCTGAACATGTGATATGCCTTGATGTGTTTGATATACCCAGTGTCTTCCATTGGAGCATACTTATCAGGTCTCTTGAAAGCCAAAATTACTATGTATCACCTCTTTTTATCAAATCACTGAGATATTCAGGGTGAACAGTTCCAACAATAAAGGGATGAATGTGAATACAGTTTTAAAATTAAAACGCATAAATATCTGTTCTGGATATTTAATCACACTATGCAACCTGAGATTCTGTTATTGACTCAAAAAAAATTTTCTAGTTGTGGTATATCTCAGCTCTTAGCACATCTTTAATCCCAAAGAAAGAAGGTAAAGTTAGTTTGTAGAAGGAAGCACCTATGTTTGAAAGTAACTTTTAATTGAAGGGCAGACAAAGTGATGATTCAGAATAAGATTTGACAGAGTGAGTCAGAAATAGGATACACCCAACTCTCAAGAATAAACAGGAAAGAGAGGCAATTTGCTGGTGTCCGACACCAACAATCAGTTAGTTTGTAGAAGGATGAATTTTGTACTGAGGTGGGACACAGTGATGGATAAAAGCCAAAGGCTAATAACCTCTGACCATTATCTCCTCCTTACTGTTTTGGTGCCCAGAAGCTTATAGCTATTGGAAGTTAACTCTCTTTGCTCTTCTTAGTCCAAAAGGTGATGACTTCTGGCAACCCTGTTCTCTGAGGAATTCCACTCTTAGAACAGCATATGGTGACAACCTCAAAGATACTCACCAGATTATGGTGTTCACCCCAACTTATGAGTTTGTCATTTAGGAAAAAATGCTGATCACTGTGAGATTCAAAGACAAACTCGCCAACTTTCACTTGAGCTTTGGTATCACTCTGCAGAGACTGGTAATTAAGGATGTCAAGCTTGGTTACTGGAACCTCCTTGTTCACAACATTCTCCTCATTGTTGCTTCTCCCAAGTTGGCTCTTTTGTAAGAATGGATGAAGCTAAAAGAGAAAAATAACATTCAGAATCTGCACTATAAGTCAGTTAGATGCAAATACATCTGGTTATTTAACTGCTCTCTCTGTCTCTAACTGTATGTTATTGTTCTATATAACAAACATTTATCATAGGGCTAATCCGTGCCAGCAGCAGGCTTATATCACACACACATACTCACACACACACACACACACACACACTTTCAGACAAAAACTCAACAAATACTGGAGGTCAGAGATGTTATAAACCAAATGGACATTACAGCAAGAAGATACCTGAAAGAGGGATACAAATTAGAAAATAAAAATTCAAGATATTATTTTGTATTATAAGATATGATAATATACATAAGCAACCACTACCAGGAAACTCCTGTGACTGATAAAGCACTTTCAGTGACGTGGCTGGATTCAAGATTAATTCAAAAGAATTAGTAGCCTTCCTATATACAAATGACAAACAGATTGAGAAAAAAATCAGGAAAATAACACTCTTCACAATAGCCACAAAAAATATAAAATATTTTTGGGTAGCCAAATGAATTAGGTAAAAGACTTGTATGATTTAAAAAAAAAGAAGCTATCTGAAAATGGAAAGACCTCTTATACTCATCCTTTAGTAGCATTAACATAATAAACAGTAAAATAACATCCAGAGGAATCACTATCCCTAATTTTAAATTGCAGCACAGTGCTATAGTAATAAAAGCCGCAAAATATTTTCATAAAAACACACATGTTGAGCAATGGAATTGAATTAAAGACCCAGAAATAAATCCACACACATATGGACACCAGATTTTTGATAAAGAAGCCAGAAATGCACAATCAAAAAGAAAAAAGAAAGAAAGAAAGCACCTTCAAAAATAGTGCTATTCTAACTGGATGTTTTTATGTTGAATAACATGAATAGATCCATACTTATCACCCTGCACAATTAATACTAATATTAAAAGTGACACACTGAACTTGATGAAAGGAAAACAGGGAACAGAATTGTACACATTTACACAGAAAACAATTTCCTAAGCAGAGCACTGATAGTGTAGGTACTAAGATAAAAAATTAATAAATGAGACCTAATGAAACCAAAGCGCTTCTGCAAGGCAATGGACAACTTCGAAAGATCAAAATGGCAGTCTACAAAACAGGAAATGATTTATACCAATGCTACATTTGACAGAGAATGAAATATCCAAAATATATAAAGAACTAAAGACACTAGGCAGGAAAAAAATCAAACAATATACATTTTTAAAAATGGGGTACATAGCTAGACAGAGAATTCTCAATAGATGAATGTCAAAGGGCTGAGAAACACTTGAAAATAATATTCAACATCCTTAGCCATTAGGGAAATGAAATCAAAACTACTTTGAGATTTCATTTTATACATGTCAGAATAGCTAAGATCAAGGATACAAGTGACAGCTCATGATGGCAAGGAGGTGGAGCAAGGGGGACACATTATGATGAGTCCTCAGAAAACTGGGAATCAATCTACCTCAAGACCCACCTATTCCACTCCATCCTACCACAAGGACACTTGCTCAATTAGTTCACAGTGGCTTTATTTATAATAGCCAGAGGCTGAAAAAAACTAGATGTTTCTCAACTAAAGAATGGATAAACAGAGTGTGATACATTTTACACAATGGAATACTACTCAGCTGTTAGAAATATGACATTGTGAAATTCGCAGGCAAATGGATGGATCTAGAATATATCCAGAGTGAGGCATCCTAGACCCAGTAAGACAAACATGGCATTTACTTCATTATACGTGGTTATTCACTGTAAAGTAAATGATAACCATATTACAGTCTACAGATCCAGAGAGGCTAAGTAATAAGGAGGCCTGTAGGGTGACAGGTCACATGAATCTCCCTGGGAAGGGAAAATAGAATAGATTTTGTGGGTAGACTAGAGGGTGGGTGGAGATGGAAACAAGAAGGAAAACATTTGGAGTGAGAGGTGGAGAGGGTATAGAGACCAAATAGTGGGACATATAGGGGTGATGTCAAAACCTAGTGGAGTGGAAACTATCTGTTATCTATGAGGGTGACTTTAGTGAGGACTCCTAGTAATGGAAGATATAGAACCTGAACTGGCTATCTTCTGTAAGCAGGGAAGGCTCACAGAGGTGTAGCTTTAACACCCATCCAGCCATAAAATATTGGACCTACAACCTGTCCTGACTACACTATGTGCTGGGGCTCTAAATTTGTGGGAGTGACCAAACAATGACTGGTCTAATTTGAGACTCAAGCCATGAAGGTAACCCATGCCAGACGCTGCCGGGTTAGCCAGAAACCTGAAGCTGAGTGGTTCAGAGACACAAGTTAGAACCAAACACAATAGAACCCAATAACAGCAACAAGTCAATGAATGGATTCCTAAGGATATTCTGCTGTAGTCATAGAATAGTGCCTAGTCCAGTTTTCATCAGAGAGACTTCATCTAGCAGCTGATGGAAGCAGATGCACAGACTCACAGCCAAATATTAGGCAGTGCCTGAGGAACCCATGGATGATAGAGAGGAAGGATTGTAGGATCCAGAGCAGTTGAGAACACCAGAATATAGCCCACAGAATCAATAAAGAAGGGCACATAGTAGCTCACAGAGACTGCATTGCCAAGCACAGAGCCTACACAGGTCTGTACCAGGTGCCTCTGCATTCATGCTGTGGTTGTTTAGCTGGGATATTTGTGGGACTCCTAAAAATAGGAGATGGTATGTCTTTGACTCCTTGTGAAGCCCTTTTTCTCCCCCTGGGTTGCCTCAAGCATATTAGAAACAAATTTAACCAAGTAGGTAAAATATTCCAATGATGAAACATGTAAGACACTGATGAAAGAGATTGAAGAGACATAGAAAGATAACAGTTCAAGGATTAGAGAGTTCATATTGTTTACAAAACCTCATTACTTAAAAGGTTTCACAGTTTAGGGCAATGCCTTTCAAATTTTAAATGCAGTTTTACTTATAGGTTAACAATGCCTAAAATCCCCACAAGCGAGAAGAGCCACAAATAAGTCACACACCCTTTGCAAATTTGATCAAGAAGAACAAATTTGAACAAATCAAGAAGAATAAATCATTGCTTTTCCCATTTCAAATAGTTTTATAAAATTGCAGCCATACAAGCATGGCATATAACATACACATATCATAGAGGAACTGAACAGAAATCCAGAAACTAACACGAGACACCAAGAGCACTCAAAGAATGAAATGTATTCGCTTCCACAAATGCTGTTGTGGAAACTAGGTATCAACATGTAAATCACTGCAGTTGGATCTTTTGTCTGTTTCAAAAGTGAAAACAGATCTAAACCTTGTAATTAAAAACTCCTAGATAAAGCAGAGAGGGAAGTCCATCGATGTCATTGGTCTTGATGATAAAATTTTCAAATAAGATATCAAGAGGAGTCAGTGAAAGCTAAGCTAAACTTTCTTAACATAAAAAGCTTCTGCACAGGAAAGAAACAAAAAACAGAGTAAGAGGACAATTCATGGAATGGAAGAAGATATTTGTAAACAGGACTCCTAATGAAGGATTAATATCCTAAGTTGATAGGGAATTACTAAAATTATTTAGTCAAAAAGTTAAAATAGGGAAAAGTGTTCAATTTCTTTTTCAAAGAAAGGGATACATGTGGACATAAAGTGTGTGGAAAGACATTTAACATCACTGATATGAAAGAAAGGCGAATGCAGCTCACCATGAGCTAGACCACTTCCTGTGTGTTAGGATACCTGATGTCAAAATTCAAAACACACAAAAGATTTATGTGAGCTAAAGGGATAATTAACCCTTAGTCTAGAAATAACCTCTCACTCTTGGGTGAGAAACTCAAATTAAATTCAGAGTATCCCACATATGAAAAGCAGTCATGAGAGTGAGAGAGGGCTGGTTGGGAGAAAGGCTCCAACAGGGGAGGGAGGGGCAGGGAATGCAATAGGGCAGAGGTAGAAAACGTTCAACATTCATTATTTAAGTGTTTGAAAGAACCAAACAATAAAAAGCAAATTTAAGTAATCTAAAAAACTAAAGTGTTGACAATGATGTGCAGGAAATGAATTTTGGTACGTTGCTGGAAATGCAATGGGTGTGAAAAGATAAGCAGATGCAGAGGAGTAAACATGTAGAAAGTTGTTAGGACTTGATAATGCAACCCCATTCAATCCAGCTTCATTTTAGAGAACCTGTTTTTCTTTCTGTTTGGTATTAGATTTGATTTTTAAGACTAGCTTTCTCTACACAGACCCAGCTGGCTTCAAACTCATCATCCTTCTGCTTCAGCCTCCAGCGTGATGGAGAACAGTCATAGATCATAATGTCTAGCCTTATAGAAGCTATGTGTTCTTTCTAGGATCTGTTTTTCAAAACAAAACAAGCTATTGGCATCAAATGTGCCTAAAATCCCTTAAAATATGCCATATTTATACTAGTACAAGTCTCTTGATTTGTGTATTAAAATTTCTTCACAAATCAATAAAGGCAGTAATAAAAAGATAAGTGACAATGAAAGGGTATAAATATTTTTGTTTGAATGTTCTTAAGATAGAAAAACCATTTTTCAGAATCCTGCACATACTGTTTTCTGATAGTACTGTTATCTCAACTTTAAACACTACAATTTGTTTTTCTTTATTTTTTTCTCTAACACTACATCTTTATGTTACTGAAATAAACATGCATACTTTGAGGAAGGAGACAGTAGCATAAGGAAATATGCTAATAACAGAAATAGTTTTCTAACACCAACTAGGAAAGATCATAAATCAAAATGCAGAACATAAAAGCAAGGGGCAAACGCCCTCAGAAAACACAAGACCAACTATTGCTACCTTCCATGGGAGAGGAGCTTGGGGTACGCCTTTATTGAATAAGTCTCCTTCTATTCCGAGTGACAGCTCCTCATGCAGTGCCTGGGCAATGGCATATACAGCAGCATGGACTTTGTAGCTCGAGGGTGAGGTATTCATATCCCAAAGATGCAGAGGTCGTGTGCTCAGGCTGCCATTTAGCTCACATTGACTCAGTTCCCTGATCCAGTGCTGATCAAAATATGGACATTCAAATAAGATCGACCACACATCCTGAATAAAGATATCATGAGGGTATTTTCTAGGTTGAACACTTCCAAGAAAATCCTTGAATCCCAGAATTTGATCCATGCGAACAGAAAATGATAACCCTCCACCAAAGTATGTATAACCTAGATTTTGTTCAAAGGGCAATGTGGTGATATCCCAATCAGAAGTTGTGATCCAGACATTACCAAAAGGAATATTGCAGAAGATGTTATAGACAAATCTCAGAAGAGAATACGTGTCACCAAATGCAACGATAACACGTGTCAGTGTGAATCTTCTCATAAAAAGTCCCCTGTTTACTGTGTCCTTAGCAGGAAATTCTGGAACCTTTTCTGCAAATGCAACACAAAGTCCATGGTTGGTCATCTCCTCTGTGATGTCCCTAAGGAAGAGTTCTCCCCTAACATCATCTGGAACCACCAGGCCAACCCAGACCCAAGAGAAGTATAGCAGCAGTTGAATAATTCCCTGATACAGAGCTGTGGTGTGCGTAGGAAACTGGTAAGGAGACTGGAGCTGAACTCTGGTCCCAAGACTCTGGTCAAAAGGAGCATAGCTGATCTAAACAGAAAGAAAGTTAATACTTAACACAAGATAATTAAGTTTTTCTCCAATGATTCAGTTTACCTCTTCTAATGCGCTTCAGGAAAAATTAAACAGTTCGATAATTGCTAAGAAATGCCTTTTGTTTTCTTTTTTTTTTAACCTATGATCCATCATTTTCTTCTCACTGTTCACAGAAAATGTATCATTGTGGAAGTTCCTATGTGTATTGTCTTTCTGTAATGCTCACTCCCTGGTCAACGATCGTAAAATGACCTTGCTTAGAATAGAGGGGTAATTATCTACCTCAATAATTGTCGTAAAGTTTTTCATTTAACAGAATCCTCTTGTCATCCCTATCATATTGCTATCCTTCTTACCAGAAAACTTCAATTGTGATCTCTACACTGTCATTCCTAGGCACTTTGGGGTATCTCCCCTGGGGTAATAGGTGGACTAGATCATTAGTTACCTAATTTTCTATATCAATGACCAATTACTAAAATTTACTTCACTTAATATCTAATATTGGCATGAAACAATACTTTTCCTTAAATGTGCTCTTTAATGAGTTCCAGGAATCTTTCTTTGATGAAGGAATGTATTGTCAAGGTAATGAAAACATAATTTGAGTTTTATTTCTTAACATAACTGTTTAATTGAACATATTCCTACAAATCAGAATGAACTACTTTTTTAAATATAAATTGAAAATATGTGTTTGAAATGTGACAAATCTCATCCAAATATAAGGCAAGAGTCTGTAGTGGAGGGAACAGGCACATGTTAGTTCATATACCAGATCTTAAATTGTACTACTGAGCCATGGTAACACAGCAGCCTGGTGTTGGCATAAGATAAACCTTTACACAAACCAAACAGAAGACCAATAAATAAACTCACAGAGCTACAGTCAAAAATATACTGGAGAGAAGACAGTTGCTTCCACAAATTGCTAGGGAAACTGAGTATCTAGCTACATGTAGAAAACTTAAGGTAGAGGTGTCTGTCTTTCTACCGTGTGCAAAAAAATCTATTCAAATCAGCTCAGAGACATTAGGATAATACTTAAAACTTTGAAATAGCAAAGGAAAGCTATGGGCAGCACTTCAAAATACCACCATGGACAAAAATCTTCTGAAAGACTCTGGTAGCTCAGCGGATCATTGCATGGTTGATCGGGGGCTACATGGAGTTAAAAAGCGTCAGAGCAAAGCAAAATATCCTATGTCAGGAGAACGGAATGTGGAGCTGTTAGGTGAGAGGCCAGGGGCCAGCAAGAGGCAGTAGGAGGATCCCTGACAAAAATGAGCCAAGTACAATTATGTAGGCATTTCTTATGAAAAATTGTATTAATTATAAATGTCAGAGTAAACATATGTCCAAAGTAAAATATTTAAAAGAAAAAATTCACTCATAAAGACTCATAAAATTTAAAAAAAAAAAAGATCAGCAAATTAGTGCATCTCTTTACTCCCAGACCTAGAGAAGCAAAGACAGGAGGATCTCTGTGAGGCTATCCTGGGCTACATAGGAAGTTTAAGACCAGGCAAGCTGGCATAGTGAGAATCTGTCTCAAAAATAAGCAAATAGGTAAAAATTAAAAATAAAAATAAGTCAACACGGCAGCCTAATGCATCTTACTAATATTTAAGTTATTTCACTGAGGATGGTAGGAAACATTAAGCACTGGATCACTGTTATTTGCAAACAAGTATATTTCTAAATAACCACCTTTCAAGTTTATTACTAAGTAAGATACATTTGACTTATACCTGCTACCTTTCTCACATTGTTTATAAGAAATCATTACTGATCAAAAGAAAGATTTTTTTTTTTTTTTTTGGTTTTTCAAGACAGGGTTTTTCTATATAGCCCTGGCTGTCCTGGAACTCACTCTGTAGACCAGGCTGGCCTCGAACTCAGAAATCCGCCTGCCTCTGCCTCCCGAGTGCTGGGATTAAAGGCGTGCACCACCACCGTCCGGCTAAAAAAGAAAGATTTTTAGACAGAGACAAAAATAAAAACTTTCCTGCCAAAAGAGGAAAATTATAAACAGCCCAAATATCAGTCAAAAAAAGCCTGACCAAGAGTTCTTTGTAAAAAATAAGTGTTATGTGGCAATCTGAGCTGATACTACAGTAAAATAACCAGGAATATGTCCATAGTAGTTACCCTGAAGACACATAAGTAGAATTATTATATTCTCATACTTTGTGATGATCTAAAACCGGATATGGAAGACAGTTAGTGTTAACAATGGTAAATGGCAAAGGAAATATTCTTGGAGTGGTCAGAATACAGGATGTCATTACTTTTATTTATATTTTTTCAATTTTAAAGTTTTGAAATTAAATTTATTATATAAACATGATTTCATCTTATTAATTAGCATTACTTAGCATTAATTGCTATGATATTATGTTTGACCTAAAGAACCATGACTCTGCATACCTGTGGGACATTGTAGAGACTTAGAACTCGGGAGATCTGAGTTGATATTCCTGTTGACATGCCTCCTATCACAGCAACCAGCTTATCAGTCTTCTCAGGCCTGCAGCTGTAGTTAGGAACTGGGGGGCTCTCTCCTGAGAGCAGAGACATAGAACTCTCCACAGCCTTCATCTCAATGAAATCAACATTGAAGAGATAGAATCCCAGGGACATGTTGAATAGAATATTTGGGTCCTTGTTGATTTTTTCTATAGCAAAAACCATTGCCAACATGTGCTGATAATGTTTGGTGAGATCCCTAGGAGGAAAAATTAGAAAGATCATTTTTGTGTTATATTTTTAATATTAATTTTTAATTAGATGATAATTACATATTAATTTTAAATTAAAATATAATTGCATCAGTTACCTCCATCTCTTTTCTCCCTACAGCTCTTCCTATGCTCCCTCTCAAATTCTGAATTTTTATTTCTAACAATCTAAGAAATATAAAGAATATACACAATAATCCAAGAAACAAGCAGGATATTCTATATTAAAAATATAGAGGAATTAATCTTTAAAAAGAAGATTCATAGCACAACTTATTATCAAGTTTACAATTTTGTTTTTTAATTTTTTTGAGACAAAGTCTAGTTTATTCAGCCCAGGTTGGATTGAAACTCACTATGTAGACCTGGTTAACCTCAGGCTCACAGAGATGCACCTGTTCCTGGTTCTCAAGTTCTGGGATTAAAGGTTTGCACCACCACATACTATCAAATGTACAATTTTAACTTTTTACTGTGCAATTTGTGTCTCACAAAGTAAACTTGAGGAGTAAAGCATGTGGGAAATAGCAAACATTAAAGCTTAATATTTCATGTGGTCTTTAAAAATAGGATAAACCTTGGGAAAACACACAGTCCTCAATCAACTATGGCAATTTAAAAAAAAATAGTGTCAAGGTAATTAAAGCAGGAAAAATATAATAATGTTCTCGGTACAATATACTTAATAAAAACAAAAAAATAGCTTCAACTAAAATGTATTTTCAAAGCCTTCTTACATATTTAAGAGGGCTCAGCATGTTTATTGTATATTTGTGTCTGAAAAATTAAAATGCAGGAGTAAAGCATGTGGGAAATAGCAAACATTAAAACTGTATATTTCATGTGGTCTTTGAAAATATAATAAACCTCATAAAAATTCACAGTGCTGATCAACCATAGCAAGTGAAAGAAAATAGTGTCAAGTTCAATGAAACAGGAAAAATAAAATGCTCTCAGTAAAATACACTAAATAACTACAAAGAAAAATTGTTTTTGACTGCAAAGTGCTTTCAACAACTTCTTACAAATTTAAGAGAATTCAGCATGAGTAGTGGAGACCCACAGAGACCCAGTCATGGCTGAGGAGCTATTGGCACTTGGTGGTTACTGGGGAAGGGAGAGTCAGTTTCCTTAGGAGGTTTGCCCTAGCAATTTGCCTAGACTCTAGATGATGTCCTAAATGCAGTACTGGCATGCCTAAATGAATTATGTAGATTAAAAAGTGAGTGAGTGAGTGAGTGAGACAGAGACAGACAGAGACAGAGACAGAGAAACAGAGAAGGAGACAGACACAGAGAGACAGAGAAACTGACAGAGAGACAGACACAGAGAGAGAGAGACCCCATGCAGTTGAAGAAAAGACATTGGAGGGGAAGCAGTAGAGCTGGGTGTGATCAACATATATTTTATACCTATGTGAAATTCCAAAATAATATTTTTTAAAGAGAGAATACTTACGCATAAACATATTCCGGTATATAGATTGTATCTTTAAAGCCAAATCTACTTCTAGTGTTCCCAGCAGTCACTCTAAGGGAAAAGAGTCCTCCAATAAGAAAATCCCCATCTTGATAGTAGCCAGGAGAAGCAGGTAAATTTAAAGAGAAACAAGAAATTTGTTCCTGGAATACAGTGAGAACAATCAGGAGAGAGAAAGCAATGAGTAATTTCATGCTAACATTGATAAATAATTGATTAAACCCCAGATATCTGTTCAGTTGAGAATATTGGACAAATCAACCCCAATAGCACATCAGCAAACTGATAAAACATGTGTCTGTCTGGTCCATGTGGATCAAGGTTATAAAGCAGTGTTTTGTCCTGATACAGACCCACCAGTATCCAAACACTCCCTCAGTTCCTGGGAGGATAATCTGCTTTGAACATACTTAGCCCTAGATTACGTCCCCTTCACAGAGTCACTGTGAGTCCCCAAGGGCTCAGGGACTTCTCACTTGACCCCTGGGAATCCTGATTTTCAGCAGGAAAACACACAATTAAAAACAAGTGTGAAGTCCACTAAAACACCTGTGCGGTGTGTACTGAGACTTCACATGGTCCCAAAGTAAAGAGAAACTAATCACTGGAAGCATATTAAGTCATGAAGGTTCATCTGAAGGAAACAGCAAAGGGCTCAGTGTTTGGTGGTGGAGGACTGGACTCTTAAGCATTTAACCTTAGTGTCATTGTAGAGTATATATATAAGACCAACCAAAGCCTTACATTAGAAAAAAATATTTCTGACCACTTTATAGGGTATTTTTAACATCTTACGTTGCTCATGTTTGTGAGTATAGTGTTTTGGAATACTTACACAATGTGAAAATTAAATATAAATATTAATTCACACATAGCTTTTTAAGCACTGGCATGATTTCAAATTTACTTATTTCAAAGAAAGTAAACCAAAGGATACTATAAGCTTTTAAAAATGTCTATTGTGCATGAGGTCCAATGTGTTAACCTTTTCTCTCTTTCTTTTCCTTTCTTTCTTTCTCTTTCATTCATTTATTCATTTTTGGTGGTGGCACTATAGAAGACTAAACTTAGAACATGGTGTCTGCTAGGCAATACTCTACCACAGAAGAGTCACATTCTAAATATTTAAAGGAAAGTACTAGGCTGCCCAGGTTGTCCTTGCAATTGTGACACTCCTGTCTCAATCTTCTGATCAACTGAGGTTACTGGTGTGTTTCACCAAAACTAGCTCAAGTTAGGGGAAATGTTAACTAGCTGTTAACATTTGATGGGAGAAAGAAAATAATGCACATCTGTAATATGATATTCAGATGTATAAAGGGATATGTCATTTGTTTTTTTTTTCAAATCATATTAAATCCATTAACATGGAAAATACACTTCATCAAAGCCTTTAAGAGATTAAGAACCTATAGGTAAGAATATATACACAGGCTTTGTTGTTTAGAACATGAGGAAAAACACACCTTATCCTCAGCTTATTTCTTTGGGTCTGTGGATTATAGCATGGTTATTCTTTTCTTTAAGGCTGGTATCCACATATAAGTGATTACAGATCACATTTGTCTTTTGGAGACCCAATTACCTCACTCAGAATGATATTTTCTAGAAAATTTCTTGTCATATTTTTAGAACCTGAGTAATATTCCATTGTGTAAATGTACCACATTTTCTTTATCCATTCTTAAGCTGAGAGACATTTAGGTTGTTTTCAATTTTTGGCTATCATGAATAAAGCTACTACGAATGTAGTTGAGCAAGTGTTCTTGTTGTATGTAGAGCATCCTTTGGTTATATGCACAGGAACTGTATAGCTGAATCCTGAGACTGACCTATTACATTTCACCATTCTTGTATCTGTTGAGACTAGTTTTGTAACTTTCCAATTTTGGAGAAGGTTCTATAATGTCCTGAGAAACAGGTATGTTCTTATTGGGGTGTGAAATGTTCTGTAGATAAATGTGAGGTCCTTCTGAGTCATAATATCTGCTAGTTCTATTATTTCTCTGTTTAGTGTCTCTCTGAATGCTCTTTCAATTGGTGAAACTGAGGTGTTGAAATCTCTCACTAATAATGTGTAAGGGTGGATATGTCGGTTAAGCTTTAATAATGTTTCCTTTATGAATGTGTATGCACATGTGTGCATGTATGTGTTTGTGTGTATGTGTGAGTGTGTATGCTCTCTTCCTTTTGGTTTGCTGGTATGGAGTTATTTATTTCCTATTCTTTCTTGCATGTCATTAATGTCTTTGGGTCAGAATTTTTCTTCTAGTACCTTCCATAGGTACTGCAGCCACTGTGCTGTGGCTTTTCTTCCCCTCTGCTGCTGGTCGCCATGTTACCTCTTCCCTAACTTCCCTCTAGCAGTTAATTAGGATATTTATGTGGTAGATTCAGCCCAGAATAACGTCAGTCAAAGTCCAAAAACACAGAGAATGACAACCAACACAGACAATTTGCCAAGAAAAAAAGAGAAAGACAACACAGACAGCTCACCCCTGCCATGGGCGCATAGACCAGGTTATACAGACAGTTCTTGCCCCTGCCACAGGGGCACAGACATCAGATTACACAGACAGTTCTCACCTCTGCCACAGGCACAGAAACCAGGTTATACAATCAAGACATAGGAAAACAAATGGTGGAAGAATCCAGTAACTAGGTGACTTGGCCAACTTACACTGGACCAAATCTAACAGGTTCCAAAAGGTCCAGGGTCCTCCCGACCCCCTCCAGGGGACCGGAAGTGCCCTCCAGGCTCCCTGTAGTCACAATCTTAAGGCATGATAGCCTGTCGCTCTTGACATCCCCAAACACCATGTGCTCTCCAAGCCCCCTAGACACTTGCAAGCAAATGGAAAGCTCAAATAGGCTTACAGGTTCAGACTTTTGACAAATGGCAGACAAAAGACAGACAAATAAACTGAGGTACCTGCTCTTGAGACCTCTGATCTACCACCTTCCAGTACATTCTAACAGGGGGTCAATTCCTTCCCGGCCCATGCACCAAATGTAAGACTCTTGATGAGCCTTAGCTTACCAGAGACGCCCTGAGAGAGCCATGTGGAGACATAAATCAATGCAAAAAGCAAGTGGAATTTTAATGATCCAGTGAATTGGGGCCATCCTATGATTGGCAGAACAGTGTGACTTTTAAACTGAGTAGTCTTTGGGGAATGAGGTGGCAAGGACCTTCCTTGTCTGTAAGTGGCAAGCATTGATCCATCCTGCAGAATGTGTCTAAGTGCTCTGGGCCTTCCCCACCCACCGGTGGGTTCCCTTCCTTGTGGTCTGAGGAATGTTAATCAACCTCTCCCTTCCTCCTTTGAATCTTAACCCAGAAAGTGTCCTCTGACTAAAGAATGTTAATTAGCCTCTTCCATGGGGGGAAGACAAGTGTTCCAAAGTTCCTCTTCACATTCCTCTGTTGAAAGACATCTGAGTTCTTTCCAGCTTCTGGATATTATAAATAAGGCTGCTATGAACATAGTAGAGCATGTGTCCTCGTTATATGTTGAAGCATCTTTTGGGTATATCCCCAGGAGTGGTATAGCTGGACCCTCAGGTAATACTATGTTCAATTTTCTGAGGAACCACCAGACTGCTTTCCATAGTGGTTGTACCAGTTTACAATCCCACCAACAATGGAGGAGTGTTTGTCTTTCAACACATCCTCACCAGCATCTGCTATCACCTGTGTTTTTTAACATAGCCATTCTGACTGGTATGAGGTAGAATCTCAGGGTTGTTTTGATTTGCATTTCCCTGATGACTAAGGATGCTGAACATTTCTTTAGGTGCTTTTCAGTCATTCGAGTTTCCTCAGCTGAGGATTTTTTGTTTAGCTCTTTACCTCATTTTTAATAGGGTTATTTTGTTGTCTGGAGTCTAATTTCTTGAGTTCTTTGTATATATTGGATATTAGCCCTCTATCAGATGTAGAATTGGTAAAGATCTTTTCCCAATCTGTTGGTTGCTGCTTTGTCCTATCGACAGTGTCCTTTGCTTTACAGAAGCTTTGCAATTTTATGAGGTCCCATTTGTCAACTCTTGATCTTAGAGCATACAACATTGGTGTTCTGGTGTTCAGGAACTTTTCCCCTGTGCCCATGTGTTAGAGGCATTTCCCCATTTTCTTTTCTATTAGTTTCAGCGTATCTGGTTTTATGTCGAGGTCCTTGATCCACTTGGACTTGAGCTTTGTACAAGGATATAAAAATGGATCAATTTTCATACTTCTACATGTTGACTGTCAGTTGAAACATGACCATTTGTTGAAAACGCTGTCTTTTTTCCACTGTATGGGTTTAGCACTTTTATCAAAGGTCAAGTGACCATAGGTATGTGGGTTCATTTCTGGGTTTTCAATTCTATTCCATTGATCTTCCTGCCTGTCTCTGTACCAATACCATAAAGTTTTTAAGACTATTGCTCTGTAGTATAGCTTGAGATCTGGGATGGTGATTCCCTTATAAGTTCTTTTAGTGTTGAGAATAGTTTTCACTATCCTGGGTTTTTTGTTATTCCAAATGAATTTGCAAATTGCTCTTCCTAACTCTAGGATCTGATGATATTTTGAATTTCCTCAGTTTCTGTAGTTATATCTCCCTTTCAGTTCTGATTTTATTAATTTTTTCTGTCCCTGTGCATCTGATTATTCTGGCTAAAAGTTTATCTATCTTGTTGGTTTTCTTAAAGAACCAACTCTTGGTTTTGTTGATTCTTTGTATAGTTCTGTTTGTTTCTACGTCGTTGATTTCAGCCCTGAGTTTGATTATTTCCTGCCACCTACTCCTCTTTGATGTATTTGCTTCTTTTTGTTCTAGAGCTTTCAGGTGTGTTTTCAAGCTGCTAGTGTATGCTCTCTCCAGTTTCTTTTTGTAGGCACTTAGAGCTATGAGTTTTCCTCCTAGCACTACTTTCATTTGTCCCACAAGTTTTGGTATGATGTGTCTTCATTTTCATTAAATTCTAAAAAGTCTTTAATTTCTTTCCTTGTTTCTTCTGTGACCAAGTTATCACTGAGTAGAGCGTTGTTCAGTTTTGACAAGTATGTGGGTTTTCCATTCTTTTTGTCATTATTTAAGACCAGTCTTAGTCCTTGGTTATCTAATAGGATGCATGGGATTATTTCAGTCTTTTTGTATCTGTTGAGGCCTCTTTTATGACCAATTATATGGTGAATTTTGGAGAA